CCCCCCCCCCCCCCCCCTCCGGAACGAATTAGCTGGTAGCAGGTAGCAGGTAGCAGGTAGCAGGTAGCCTTGTTCGAACATAAAAGCGAAATACGGTGAGAAGGTTAAAGCTCCAAAATTAATTCAATATAAACTGTGTAGGTGTCAGCACTAGTCAACGTGTCTGCGAATGTGTGATTACTGGTTTTGATATTATATAACGACGCTGTTTTAGCTGCTTACGTTACATGCTGGCATATATGAAATCTGAAGACGATTCATGAATACTGAATATATAATAATTTGAATTTCTCAAACTATAATTTACCACTTCCCCCCCGCCAAATATCTCACGAAAACTTCAGTACGTAAGAGAATGTATTCCTGGCTGCAGGTACCAGTGCAGAGAGTCACCAAGTACCCGCTGCTGTTGGCACGCCTGCACAAAGTGACCCCAGCTCACCACGAGAGTCGAGAACATCTACGACAGTCGCAGCACAAGATCGAACTTCATCTCGAACACATGAACTCGGTAACACTAGCTACACCCGTTGAAATTACCCCCCCCACCCTCGGTGAATTATCCATACTTTCTCTGATCCATTTTCAAAAGTTATGCATTCAAAAAAAGTACATTGACGCAAATGGTAGTAAACATTTTCAGTTGGGAATCCAAGTTTGAGTCTTTTATTTGCGTGTGTAGCTGTGTAAGTTTCTCAAACTTTAGTATACCCAGGGTTTTTGTCCATCACCCAGTGTTTTACACCACACAGCTCAAGTTTACAACTGATTCAGTTTTATTAATCAGTTTAAATTAATAATTTAATTTAAATAGTTATGTAATGACACACAAACTTCAGAATTATGCACCAGAAATGTTAATTGCTTTCTGAATTTAAAAAAAAAAAAAAATTCTCAAAATTATCGAGGTAACGTGTTTAAATTGTTTTGTCAGACAGGATATATTTAGGCACCATTTTGAGAATGTAATGAACAAGATTTTTCTGTCCCTGTTCTCATGTCTATCTGTCAACAAATCAGTCCACTCATGTTTTCTGTTGCCATCGTAAAGATTGCTTCCAGGATTTGTCAGATATTTTTGAAAATTTTTGTATTTGCTTTTACTTCTCTGATACATTGATATTTCTGGTTATTCCATTCTCTTGCAGATCGAGTTTAAGCCAAAGTAGTCAGGAAATAACTATGTCTCATCCTATGTGCGCATGACGTACTTTCTTCCCATTATATAATCACATAATTTTTTTCTTTTGACTTTGTGCGTATGCATCTATAGGAAGCAAAGGACATAAGTACGACAAAACTGTGGCGGCGGATATCCATTATGAATGGGAGGAGGTCCAGTAGCGAAACAGATATGTTGAGCATCAAACTCAGGAAGGTAGGACCCAACTTTATTTGTCATGTTGACGAAATAAAAAATATAGACCTAGCTAGGATGTACATTTTCTTGACATGGAGTGTATTCAAAGACTTTTTTCTGTATGGGGTACAGTTTTGTATAGAAAGGAGAATAATAATCATCACTCAAAAGAATTAGATATCATTTGTTTACTAGATTTGTCAGAAACAAAATTTGAATTTTCAGTGAATAAATATGAGACGAGTGAGGTGTGAAAACAATGAGCGTTGTCCCCGTCAGTTTGCTTGGGTGTCCGAACCCTGTGGCAGTGATTTTTGTTTTGTTTGTTGTTGTTTGGTTTATGCAATTGGATGGTAGAGCAGGGATTCACCAGTCAAGAAATATTCTGCATGCTGGTGATCAGTCTGTTATTGGCATTGCATCATTCTGGGTGTAAAATGGAGAAATGTTACGTTTGATGACAGAAGTCAAGTTAAAACATGTGGACACGTCAGCGTTTCACACTTTTTTTCTCATTTTGTTATGAAAATATTACTTTTTAGATGGCTCTGGACATTCTAGAGTGGAACCATGATGAAGTAAGGTTTGCTATGGAAGGAAAACTGCTGTTCACGAATCCAGCGGACAGTAACTGGAGGAAGGGGAGGACCATCAAGCTTAATACAATCAATGCCTTGCTGGTAACAAATGGAAAGGTAAGCTTCGCAGTTGTCTCAGCACCGTTTGACGAGTACCCCAGATAGGCGCAGAGAGAACTTTGCCATTTACTCTCAAGGTCATGTTATTTATGTTGAAGTAAATGTTTGAAAATATCTACCACATGGCAACTAGCGGCGGTTGAATTCCGTTTCTTCACAGCCTACCGAAGACTACCGGCCAGATCCATCGGAGGACGCGCTCACGTTTCCGAGGAAGACCGGAGTGCGAGAGGCGACCCTGCTGCTTCTCAAAGAGAAGTGTGGACGCTACGCACAGCTCAGGGTGAGTGTGACCTTGAGCATCATGGATGAAAATATTTCATGCTAATAGCAGTGATGAATATGATGTCACTGATGATAATGTGACGTGACACAAGTCAGCCTGCTTTCAGGATGTAAATGATAATATCTCTTGCTCCACAAAATTATTTTCTTTCTTTCAGGAACCTTTGTACCTTGACAAGTGTATAGTCTGTGCAGAATCAGACTGGGAAGATTATTTTGAAGTCCAGGAGCTGGCTTCAAAGGACACATTTATTTTTAAGGTCAGCGTATTTTTCTGTGTTTAGGTGTTCTATAAATGATGGTGACGTGTCACCATATCTTAATATCTTAGTGTCTGTCATCATTAAATCTCATATGAAGATTATGCCATTTGGGAACATTCTAAAGTAATTAAGTTTAATGCCATATGCCTAGAAGCATCAGTACAGTTGTGTCAGGATCGTGTCCAGTAACAGGCTTTTGTGTTGTCGGTGCTGAACCTGTGGGTTCTGCTACCAGGGGGTTAGTTAGTTTATGTTTGTGTTTCAGGCTGAGGATGTAGACCGAACCAAGTTGTGGTACAGACAGCTGCAGTACCATGCACAAGGAATGGGTGCCTGGAGAAGACGCCGCAACGCATTGGCCAACATAATGATTAATGGGATGCAAACCAGGAACTAACATGACCCCAGCCTGTGATAGTGTGAATGTGAATGTTTCATTTATTTAATAAATATTAGCATTATGACAAATATTTTGCAATATAGTAATGTACAAATTGTTGTAAAATATTATAAATATAATATACATTACTTGTCTTAAGATTAAATACACAGAGAAATGTATAGTCACACTTGTTAATATCAAGTGAAATCCTCACGATTCTGTGGTTACTAGTACCTTAAAATTTATTTACTGTTTCAGAGAGATTAAATTTGAACACACTGGCCTTAGCTTCAAATTTGGAATAAATTGGCAGTATTATTACAGTTTGCTTTTGTTTTTCACAGCAAAAAAAATTTCTGGAACTATAATTTTTCCTATCATTTTATTTGGGTACAGTGAAAATGTTTCAGAGAAAAGTGCTGGGGAGATATTACATAGCACAGCAATCCCTTGCCATTCACAGGGATTATGTTCCTGAAACAGCAATGCAGTAGGGAAGTTTGGAACCAATGCTACTTTAAATACTGATTGGGACCAATGTTTCCTGTTCATTTACTAAACACACAAAAATAATACATTTAAACCATGATTATTTTTCTTCTGCGTCTGTCACAATTTACAATTTCTCTGGCATTCCACAGTAAGGTTATATTTGCTCCAACAACGTACAACCGACAAAACAACGTCTACTACAGTTCATAGAGTCGCGGATAGATTGCAGCAGCATGACAGTGACAAGTGCTACCATCTTTAGCACGTTTATGAAAGTAGATGTCTGTCTTCAGGTTTGTTGTGCTGTGTAGTCTGGTAGAAGTTTACCGAATTTCAGAGGTCCTTGCTGCTTCCATCATCAGGGTGATGAGCATTGCCCGTTACAAATCAAGTATGTGTACATATTTCGATTCCGGTTAGAGTCTATGTAATTTTTCAATGTACATCCACTTCCATAATCTCTGTGGTTCAAATCATTTTTGTTTCTTTCATACACAATTCTTTTCACATTCTTCAGTATTTATTTATTTACTTATTACTTTCTTTCTATATTAATAATGACTGCCATAGAGTTGTCACTGGTCTGTGTTTTCACTGCACACGAATTTGTATTGCCTATTTTCTGTTAAAGCATTAAACTTTACTTTGTTGCTTGATTTGATGTCCAGTATGCCCTCATACGCATTAGTTACCACAACACATTAGCGTCACTGTAGAACAAAGCGTCAGATGAAAACCTAGCAATTAGCGAACACCACATCGTATTAGAATACATTAAAAAACGAGATTAGGGAACATTAAACCTAAGCATCAGTAATATTTGGAAATGAGATTGTGTACATGAAGTAAGGCACAATTTAATTGACTCTCGTATGGCCACTGAACAGTTGCATCAGTAATAATTAATAAAACACAGTTTCAATTCCTATAATCTTTGGCAGAATTTTCAGTCTATTATTGAAGTCGTGTTACGAAACTTATGGCGCAATTTAAACACAACGGCAACCCTGCAGTCAGAACATTAAATGCAACTGTTACTTGCCGATAACAATGAATTTGTATTTCATGTAATAAAAATCTTAATTTTTTTACACGTGGCTTGAAATCGTTTCCTGTAATTGCAGTGTTGTGATTTTTCATAACAGATTATAAGCATTAGATGATTATGGAGCATTATAAACAAAAGAGTGGTAGAATAAACATTAATAGTTTAACAATTCGTATACAGATGGGAGGGCTGGGAGCTATTTTTAAAATATCTCAACAATGCAGACAGGGAGTCCAACAGATGCCAACTTACTCCTAAGAAAAAAAATTGTTTGATGGTTGATTCTTTCCTCACGACATTCTTTTATCGGATTATGAGAATAGCTAGTTACGAAATACATTTCTTGAGATGTTGGGTTTGAAACTTATGTGACCTCCTGTTTATATTAACTGATATTTTGCTTTCGAATTCATTCTGCCCCCACAAATGTAGGAAAGTGCCTTAAAACAGGGCATGATCACCTTTTTTTTTTGTTCCAAATCCTTTTCTACTTGCGATTAATAATCAAATCTTCATCCGATACTGTACAAAGCCTGCACTTCAAACATTGTATTTCGTATCACTCCAAGTGATCTCCTTCCATCAGAGTTTTCGACAAAAATTTTGCACATATTTGTGGTTTCTCCCACGCATGTTAAATCTTCCTGTTACGTCACATTCTTTTTTTAATTTTATCACGCGATGGAACTAACAATTTATGTTTAACTATGAAGCAAAGTGATAATTTGTACCACCTGCTTTAACATACCCAAGCTATTTATGAAATGATTGTTTTCATGGAGGCTGGTTATGTTCTGTTTGCGGTAGGATATTAATTATTTACATAAATCTTCTCTTTCAAAGTTTCATTCCATTGAACTGCAAATGCGTGTTAGGTAGCGAATTAAGAGATCTGGAACAGTCCAAGACACTACCGCCTCCTCTACCTGAATGTCTTTTACGGAACTAAATTAAAACGTGTTTGTAGGTGGCGGAACTGTGAGGCGGGAGGGGAGGGGGAAAGTTTTAGTTCCGAAGAGGCGCGTTGTGATTTGCAGGTGTGCGTTTGTGCAGTGTTTCTTCTTGAAATAGTTTTATGTGAATATGAACAGAATGTGATTTAATGGCCGCTTTGAACTGAGCTTGTTAGTGTATTATGAAGATGTAGCTGGATCAAAGGCGCTGAGTGAAAGGTAAGGTTCAGTTTTCCGTTGTTAAGTTGATTAAACTCATTGTTCATGTTGAAAGAAATGTACATCTTGTTTCACGTTAAGATATATATTTATGGTACAGTTACCGGATCCGATATGGAAGTTCAAATAGATTATGTTACTTCTAGCAGCGTTTAAAAAAACCCGAATCAATTGTAGGTTATGCCACGTAAAGGTAACGTAAATCTAACCTCGCTTTGTATTAGTTTAAGTAACACCTACTGGCGCGGTGGTTGTATAGGCTTCAGGTTAGAATTATCTGTGTTGCATCACATACAAGATGAGAACGTTCATGGGAACCACTTTAGCTAACCTAACATTTTCAAAGCAATTTCCTGCTATTTTAATTGCGTGAATTGTGTTGTACGTGACTGGTGATTTTACGTCATATAAGATGAAGTGAAAGTATAGTAAAGTTGTATGTATTCAGTTACCAATATTTCTAAGGCCCATCCAGGAATTTAGCCAAGACTTTTCAACAAATTATACTCCGTCACCGTATAGCAGCCAAGCCATTTTAAGTTAGTATTAGGTAGGTATCTTTCTCAGTTGGTTTCTTCCCTTCGGGATTTAATCAACATTTTGTACTCATGACTAAAATGCAGAATTACCGATGGTTAAAACAGGCGATACAAGAATTTACCACTGGACTTTTACCCTCTGAAGCCCATTGGTAACTAAAAATAAGCCAAGATGTGTGTATTCCGTATGATTGGAATTGCAAAGAACTGTTATATCCTTAAACAGTGTTACCCAGTTGACATTAGTAACGGTGAAGTGTTGTGCTTTCTTTGCGGTACGGAAAGAATTCTTAAATATTATTTACACGGGCTTCGGTTTTTAAAGGGTTAAATGACTTACACCTCCAGAACATTCAGGTCGAGAGAAATTTGTGTCAGTATTTGCCTTTGTGGTTCCCAGGTGATTGTGGGAATCAGCCAAGTTGTTTCTTGGCATTGTATCGAACCTTCGCGTGCACTCGGTGTTACACGGTTCCTTTGTTTGGCTCCTAAATTTATATCAGATGCCAAACGCCGCAAACAATGCTAACAACAGAAATCTGCCAATATTTATGGCTTACGGTAAGTTCTTTATCGAATCGTGTGATCAAGCGCCTGCTGACCAGGAAAGCATCTTCAAATCTCTGCAAGAAAATAAATTGATTTTGCGCGAAACTGTTCCATATAAAATGCTATTCTGAATCGTTCTTATTAGACAGCTTACATTACTCACATGAAGTGTTGTGAGATCGGTTCTGGATGGATAGAACTTCATAAAGAAAATAATTTAATTGTAATTTCGAAGTGTTAGTGATGGCATCTGTACTGCCATTCTTCCCCTTTGATTTTGTATGTCATTGTTTCTTTATATTTTTCATCCTTCATTTGTTTCTTTCTCTTCTAAACTTTTCCATTGTGTCTTCTTCCATTTTTCTGTTTCTGTCATTATATTTACTGCTTTATGTCTTTCTTGTGTTTCTTTTGCCTTTGCTTTTTCATGTTCCTTTGTCTCATTCTTTCTGCCCTATAATTAAACTTCGAATATCTCCAAGACGGACAATCCGTGAAATTCATGTCTACCACGTAACCGAGTTCTCATTCATAACAAACCTTTAAAAATGTATAACTGTAATGTGTATTTTGTGACATATCGTATCAACTCGTGAAATCGTCGTAAAGAGATTTTTTCCACAAGCGTTCGCGTAATGCAGGTTGCGAATGACACCTACAGATGAAACCGCAGATGGACGCGGGTCGAGCGCGTAAAATAAATGCACGTAACAGGACGGTGATGTAATTACCAAGTTCATTCGTGATGATTATTTAAATACAGATAGCAACCGCCCAGTGGTAACCATAGGAACTATGCCTTTCTGAGAGTTCATATGGTCTCATGTTACAGGTAAAATGCCAAATACACGTCGTCAGTTTGTGTCGTGACGTTAATTACTGGCATTTATAGGAAGTATATGAATCCCCCCACCACCCTGTCCAGTGAATTTCACTGTTATGTGACGGAAATTTTAGGTTTACAAGGCTGTAAAGATGTCA